CWTATGTRTTTTCGCTTTTCTGGAAGATTTTCATTCTTGCTCAGGCACGCTCAAGWAGAGCTATTAAACACGAARACACTTTGTATAAACAATGAATAAACAACAAAAATTGTGTTCAAACCTGTTTTCATTTTGATRAGCTCGCTTTCTCTCGAAAACAGCYGAGTTCGCTTGTTCGTCCTCATTAGCACTTTCAMTGCCCAGCTGATGTGGTTCTTGATCGGTTGAGAAGCTCATTTCTCGATAGATGGACAAAAACACATTTCAATGAAATTTACAAGTCGACCAGCGACGTCTWGAGATTTTCGAGATTTTGATGCAAAGATTGCGAGCAAGTYTAACTTGTTCGCCATTTAAAAAGTCSTATGTACATCGCTAAAAAGTTTAAAAGTGTTTAGAGCCCCTGAGGCGTTTAAAATATTCTAAAATATCATAATAAAAGGGAAATCACTCGACTTGAACAAAACCACTTATCCGCCATTTTGGATTATGTCTCGTTTTCAGTTTTCCCGCGCTTGCATGATATTGAGCCTCGGGATGAAGCTGAGTCAAAGAATAAATAAATATGTAAAAAATATTGCATGGTATTTGGATAGACCCTACATTAATGAAGAGTCTAAGATTGTTTTTAAAGACATGGATATTTTTTTTATAAATTTTAAATCCATAAAGAGATCTATCGTCTGTGAAAGGCTGTACGAACAGAACCAATCTTCCCCCGAACCAACAAGGAACGCCTGGCAAATCTGTCTTTCTTGTGCCGACATGTTTCGTTCAGTTTTAATCACCGTTTTTGTCGCTTCTCTCAACTTCAGTGCGCAACAACCTGATACTTTCAATAGTGGAATATTCCAATTTGACGTTGCTCAAAATGTAGAAGTTGCGACATTTGCAGCTAACTGATTTTGGGGAGTTGAAGCTCGGTTTGGTGCTGAAGTTGGAGTTMTGAAAACTCGWGTTGGATACAYTGGKGGGACATCAGASAATCCAACTTACATAGCATTGTACGTTACTAGTATATATGTATTCTTGATTTATCATTGTTATAAATTTTGTGCCAAATCCCGAAATCCTTTAACTTAAGCTTAACTTAAATTGTTTTTTTTTTACATTGTATGTCTTAACTAAATTCCATTTTCAGTTTCAGTTACTCCCATGACTACCTACAAAAAAATTCCAAAATTTGAATAAAAATATAAAAATATAAAATATAAAAATAAAAATATTTTAAAAATATTTTATATAATCTGTTTTGTGGTTTACAAACACATTATGTTTGAATAACACAGAGGAGACCACACCGAATCAGTTCAACTACAATTCAATCCATCCAAAACTYCTTACACAAAGCTTTTACAAGTTTTCTGGTCACTACATGACGCGACAGAACCAAAAACACAACAGTATCGGTCAGCTATTTTTGTGCACAATGACAAGCAACGGGAGCTAGCAGAGCAATTCTTAGAGGACCAACAGAAAGCGATCACCAAAAATGTGTTAACTAAAGTTGAAACAGCTTCAAGATTCTATGATGCGGAGGGGTAAGTTCCTGCAAGGTGTTCTTAAAAGCACTTTCTTCAGTGTAASAGACTTTTACAATCCTTGGTAACTGAAAACATTGATTGAACATGTTAGACGAGTCCATTCAACAACATCAGAAAGKGACTTGAAACGTGTAGTGCYGTGCCATCCTTTGGAATATTCAATAGTAATTTACATTTCATTTCCTTATTTGGAACAATTTACCCTAGCCAATCAGAACGGGCCTTATATCCTTGTTTGTTGACATTCAAAGGTGGAAGTTGAAACAAAGTTATAACACAAACTCTCATTGGTCAGATTAAATTACTTAATATTCCAAATATGGTCATAACGTTTGTTTTTTGAATTTTTAATGATTTTTGAATATCCCGACACTTGGTGTATGGGCACTACGCGTTTCAAGATATAGGTCTCAACATCTAATCCCAGACTGGTAAAATGGTCGATGCATATCTGATATTTCACCTGCAACAAAGGTCACCAAGCTTTGCGAGACCTATGTAGCTAAAAATCAATGTTCTTTAATTGTCAAGTGACAGGACTAAATGTAAATTACAGGCTGTAAATTTTGACTATTTACCTTTCTATTTGTTTATATTTTTATTTTTCCAGTTACCATCAAAAGTACATTTTACAGCAATCACCATTAATGCGTCCATTCAGTCACATGACAAAAGAGCAGTTCATGGACTCATTTACGGCTGCAAAATTAAATGGATATGCTGCTCGTTACATCAAGTCTAATGCATTGAGGAGAGCATTAACACTACACAGGGAAGAAAACATTGATTCAGTTGATCTTGTGGATAAACTCTTGAATATGATCTAAGTNGCCTTTTTGAAATCAACGGATGTTTTTGACGCCTCTACATACGGGACATTGAAGTATTCCCATGAACGAGAAATACTGGTGTCTAGACAAAGCGAACCCAAACCAAGTTTGTGTGAAGTTTGCAAACTGCTCCAAATTTGCACTAAAAACTTGTGTTTCTGGCGACGTTTCGTGAAAATTTGAACACAGAAGCTCGTGCAGTAATGCAGGTAAGACTTTTCTGCTTATTGTCTGCTTTCATCTTTACATTTTATATAGTGAACAAAAACAATCATATTCGGTCGTTACGAGTCAGTGCCCAACAAACTGATTCCCGCTAAAAAGTCTATTGTAACGCTTTGAGCTTAATACTTTGACTTCAAAACCAACTATTACATAAAGAAAACTGAAATAACAAACGTTCAACTTGAGTGCATAGTTTTCCCAAAATATAGATTCCTTGTTTAATATTTGGTTTTGGGATACCTGTGTATGTAGAACCAACTGCGAGGCAGATCATGCAGAAAGTTATTTCAACTATTTTTTATAATTTATCCTATTGCACAACAGTTTCTTTAAACAATGACGTAGATCACACTAATCTACCGCTAGACTGATTCCATAAGCCGGTCCCAGTTTGCTCTCTGTCAGAGTTTTTATCGCTCACAAACCGAAAAACTCAGGAACGAAAACTACGATTTATGGAAACAGTCTAATCTACTGGTAATTTCTACCATTTTATCATTTTGAGATGATTACTTAGTAGACATCACACTCGTACCCAGTCCCCTGATTTCTAAGAGAGCGACTTTTTTCAAAACTGATGTACGTAGGACGACGTAGATCATACCCTTCTGCCACATCAATGCAGAGGTATCCTCTTTAGTGCCATCTAAATTCCATGCATAATTTCTTAAAACGTGTTCAACTTTTTCTTTCGAACGCCTTTAACTTTTTTAGAACGTGTTCGATTTTTTTTTCGAACACGTTCAATATTTTGTTTGAATGCGTTGAACTTTTTTTTGCATCGCGGTCTCAAAGTATCGCAGGCTTATATCGCTGATACAGTGCTACAGAACTATAGTGCTACAGGACTACAGTGCTACAGGACTACAGGACTACAGTGCTACAGGACAACAGTGCTACAGGACTACAGTGCTACAGCTGCTACAGGACTAAAGTGCTACAGGACTACAGTGCTACAGGACTACAGTGCTACAGAACTATAGAAAAACTATAGAGCCATAGTGGTGCAGGCGTAATAACACTATAGAAGACTGGAAGGACATTATTGTAGACACTTGAGCGGATTTCGTATGAGTGGGACACCGTTACCGCACGGTTACCGCACAGTTACCGCACCTGGCCTGCACAATTTTGGTGAACCAATGGGGCACTAGAATTTGGTTACAGTACGATTACGGTCACAGTACAGTACCGTCCGTTTCCCACTCATACGAAATCCGCTCTAAAATTCGGCTTTACTTACATACGTTTTACGGTACAATACAAGGACGTTACATGAAGTACCTACCTGCCAAAGTATCAAAGTACCGCAGGCTCATTCGAGCACGTGCTTTCCGTAGTGATGAAGGATTCTCTAGAGAAGGTAAGCAAAATGAACTTAATATTTCCTTTAACCACGAATATACATCGAGAAGTGTATCTAGAATTACTGTGTAATTACTGTAGCATGATATTCTTTGCTAGATAGCATATTTTACTATGTTTTAAAGCCATATCGTTTGCAGCTAATAACTTAACTGAAATCATGCAGTCATGCAGTACAGTTTGAGATGATTTCTTTACGTTTGGGTGTAGTATGGAAATTCCAAATGCATATCTATTGTATTAAGCAATCACTCCATCGCTTTATAATATTCCCATGTGTACTGTCATGTGAAGACAACAAACATTTGCATAAGAATGTTTTTAATATTCGCACGGGGAAGAAATTGTAATTTTAAACTTTAGATAAATACTAGTAACGAATTTGAATTTTAAAGACATTGCGATTTATGCAATTAACCACAGGCTTACCAAACTATCGAGAAGAGTCGGCAATACGTTTTTCATGGGTAAATGATCGCGAGCCCCGGTGAAGTAAATCCCCTTTACCAGGGCTCGCGATCATTTACCCATGAAAAACGTATCGCACGGCAAAAAGAACCACAAATCCACATTCAGAAAGCATTCAAGTTTATTTCTGAACTAAAAAACCAGAATATAACCCCCCAAAATAACCAAAATATCGATGTTGAAAATGGCCTAAATTTGAARAGATTTCAACGGCTTTCGGCCGATAATCGCCATAGGAGGCCTGGAGCCGACTCTTCTCGATAGTTTGGTAAGCTTGTGAATTAACTTAATTGTTGTCTTACGTTTCCCTGGGTTTCAGAGGCCTGGATTTCCACTTTCTTATGGTATGGTGTTAAGCTTCCCAGAAAAGCCATTTGAGACAACATCTCTTCTCGGAACACGTTAAGTGAACGCTTCAAGCTTACACTTCTAAGATGGAGTCATTCCTCGAGGGTCTAAAACTCCAAGTCCAGTGTTCACTGTGTAATGATATTATGTTTGAACCTAAGTTGTTACAATGCTTTCATACTTTCTGTAAAACTTGTATCAAGACAAATGCACAACTTGATGGTCAAGTCAACATCTTTAAGTGTCCTCAATGTACTTCGTTAACTGAGCTACAGGAACTGAACGAAGTAGAAGACTTAGAAATCAGTCCCATTCACTCAAGAATCATTCAAGTGTTGTTGTTTATTGAAAACCAGAAAGTTTGCTCGGTTTCTGCCAGCCATAGCAATGCATCGTTTCAATGTCTGGACTGTGATCGCTCGTTGTGTGACGAATGTCTGAACAATCATTCTATATTTACTAAAGATCACAAAGTTGTTTCATTGTCTGAAATGACAAAGGAAGACATCCAATCCATGCTGAAAAAGGAAACTCCTTGCAAATCCCATGTCAATCAAGATGTTAAGTTGTACTGCAGTGACTGTAACGAGCTGATCTGCCAGATATGCTTGATAGAACTTCATCACAACAGCCACAAGATGATATCGCTACAGGAGTTCATCGCTGCTCAGAAAGATGATCTATCTAGACACCTCAAAGAAATTGAGAACATGGATACCAACGAGAATGAAAAGAAACAGCAAGAACAAATTGCTGTTGACATCAAACGTGATGGACAAAAAGCTCAAAAACAAGTCAAGAGACTAACAAAACAGCTGAAGAAAAAAATCGACAATAGCGAAGAAGAACTTTTGAATACCATCCAGAAGAGCATGACGAAGGCCAACAGGAATTTACGCATAATACTTCACTCTCCAGCAGCGAAAGAATACATGAAATACCTTATTCAAAATGGAACAGCAAGCGAAATCATTGCCACCCGATCAGACACAGAATGCTCAAAAGCAGTTGCCTACAGCACATTTAACAAAGACTTGGGTGGGATGAAATTTCAACCTAATGAACAACTTTGTGAGCAAGTAGATTCTGGTGTAGGGTTGATACAAGCCTTTAAAAGAGCTGACCCAAACAACAGCTTACTGCAAGCAGTAGGGGAAAATGGTTTTGAAGCCATGAAGAAAACAACTTTGAAAGTGACAATTAAAAATTATAAAGATGAGCTGTGTAACCCCCCACCAGATGATGTAACAATACACATCACTCCTGAGGATGACGTCAAAGTAGGCAAGAAACAAGTGACAGCTGATGGCCAAATCAAAGTAAACTTCACTCCTCGTGTTCCTGGTCAGTTGACAGCAGAGGTTCAAGTACATGGAAGTCCTGTATCGAACAGTCCACTAGTGATGGATGTCAAACCACAGCACATTGTGGAAATGACCAAAATTACTAAGCTGAAAGAAGCATTGAATACTGGATCGAAGAACTTTACAGGTATTGCAGTGAACAAATCAAACACTGAGATTGCTGTAGCAGACTGGAAGGCTTGTTGTGTCAGAGTGTTCAACATGGATGGGGATTTGTTACTGTCATATCGTAGTAAAGATAGAGGACAAGGAAAGAAGTTTGGTCCACTGGGATTGGCATTTCTGAATGAGACAGAGTTAGTCATAGCTGATTACAATAACCATAGAATATGCATAGTAGACA